ATGATTTTTGATAGCTGACCATTTTGAAAACAATAATAAATTTGATTTTTTATGAAATATTGAACTAAAAATATATTTTTCATAATGTATTGCATTAAAATCATGCATTTGTAAATATCTATAAAATTAAGATTTGAATTTCAATTACCTTTTAAAGGAAAGAAGAAGAAGAACATAATTTTTAACATGAGATAATTTTGGGGTCTAGTGTTTAAAGATCTAATGCATCTTACTACAAGCAAAAAAAGAAATTTGAGAGAATCGAATTCATTGTTGATTCTGAAAACAGTACCGAGAATCGGGGCTGAAAAGGATATGTTCTCAATGTATGGTCTCAAAATCGACCCACTTAGTAGAGGGACAGAAACCGAACCGACTGGCTCTATTTGGTTCGGGTTCGATTCCACCGGTTCCGGGGAAAAATACTTGACCCTACTACTATTTGACTCAATGTCAATCTTTTTTTCCTACTTTTCAACGGGAGCCCAATAATCCCACATCTATGAGCCTAGTAGCTCGGCCCACATTACTAACCCAAATAAGCCTCTATATAAACGGCCCTGTTCTTGACTTGCACCTAACTAGGGTTTTAGTTTTCATCTTCTCCGGCACTTACACTCAGTCGCCCTTCCCAAAAGAAGCAGTAGAAAATGGTGAAGGGTCGCCAAGGAGAGCGCGTCAGGTCCCCCGATCTAACCCTAACATATGCATACAAGTACACGTTTCTATAATTTTATCAGTATTTTAGTAATTTTATGTTTAATTATGCGTTTGATTGCAGGTTGTACGTCCGAGGCACGATCCTGGGGTACAAGAGGTCGAAGTCGAACCAGTACCCGAACACGTCTTTAATCCAGATCGAGGGAGTAAACAGCAAGGAGGAGGTAGCTTGGTACCAGGGCAAAAGGATAGCGTACATTTACAAGGCTAAAGTGAAGCAGAATGGGTCTCACTATCGGTGCATTTGGGGTAAGGTGATTCGTCCCCATGGAAACTCTGGCGTTGTTCGTACTAAGTTCAAATCCAACCTGCCCCCCAAGTCCATGGGAGCTCGAGTTCGCGTCTTCATGTACCCTAGCAACATTTGAAGGTATTGGTTTATGGTTTAAATTTATTCATATGAAAGTGATCTCTAATGTTTTTTTTCACGGGATTCATAAAGTTTTTTATATTGTGCAAGTGAATTGTAATTGCTTTTTATTGTATGTAATTATTTATTGATTAAATGTGGATTTTATTATCTGGTTTATAATGGTTTAGTTTGTTGTTGATTTTTTTTAACAGTTTTTGCTGCACCTTTTTTCCCCCAAATTATGTGCCAAATTACCCTTGAAATTGTGATACTTTGACCTTGAATTGTTGATTTTTATATGATAAACCGACAGTTAATTTGCCATATTTGAGGCTAACAATTTGATAAATAACTGCAGTCTTGCATGTTCTTTTGTAGCTGAGTACTGGTGATGTTCAGTGTAATGAAGAAGAAAATAATAGGGTTCCATATATGTGTATTCTCATTCCTTTCTGTTTTAACTACAAGCTCAAGGAAGTGTAGTGTCTATTTGTACATTTTGACAGTGGATTGTCTAGTATTCATTATCATATAATCAAGGCTTTAAGTGATTAACAGGAGTAGGAAATGAAGGATCTGAGAAATTGCTTTCAATTTCTTTAAGAGACTGGGAAGTAAGGGCTATGGGGTGCTTTAAATAATTTTGATTTTTCTCAACTGTGTATAATGATTATATCCTTGAATCAAAGTAATTTAAGTTGTAATTTAAGCCCACCTTACTTGGTCATTTTTTAATTTTGATTCATCTGAAGATTTATAATTTCCATTCAGGTGTAGAATTGATTTGACATATTAACCGTGATCACGCTTAGTTGATTGGGACTGACTCATCTTTCTCAAACTAACTTTGCATGCATTTGAGCCCTAGTAAATCCCATTTGTTTATTAAATTTTGGCATGTAATACCGATGATCATTTACACTACTGACATTTAGAATCTTTCTTTTCGCCGCTGAACTTTGTATCTGCATCTATTCAGAGTAGTACTTGATCGTTGTTTCACATTAATTCGTAGTACTATGTCTTTCTTGATGGGTGGCTTTGAATTCTTCTTGGATAATTGTGTGGTGGTTAGAACTAACAATGTGTTTAATAGCTTCAATGTTGTTGAGAGGTTTCTAATGTTACTTTTCCATTTGTTTTTCATTCTTGCAGCATTTTAAGTAGTAGTGGAACAGAGTTTGAGCATTGGTGGCTTTTAGAAGGATCTGTTTTGCCCTTTTTTTCTGTATTTTGTTCATGTTTGTTTATCACCAAGTATTGGACATCAAACTAGATATAACTGATTTTGACAATTTTGGGTCACTGTTTTAATCTTATTATCAATGATTTTCCAATTTTGATATATTTGATGCTTGCTTGTCGTGCTCCAGGGGAAAATGGAGGTTAGTAAATATGGTTACGTTAGAGTCAAACCTAAGAGCATGTTTGGTATGCAATTTTGTACAACACAATGGAGCAAGATTTTGGCCAATTTGAATGTATTTTCACATGATTTGGGTGGTTTGAGCTCTAGGTGACACCACCAAATCAACTTTTTCTTATGGCTTGTAATGTTTATCATTGTACATCCAAATGCTTTGATGATTCAGAATTGAACAGGAAATAAGGACTATGCAACATCTCGGCTAGATAACAAATTCAAGAGATGTGATTGAATCAAATCAGATCATTTTAAGAAGATTAGGGGGCTTTTGGGTTTGTGTTTCGATTTTCAATTTTGAGTTCATCTTTTGTTCTCTCTCTTGATTGCTTGTTTTAAGATTTTTAAAAAGGTGTTAGGTTTGTCATTTTGAAATTTTTTCTCAAAACAAAAAAATTAGAAAATGCGATTGGTTTGAAATTTTGAAAATTTGTTTTATAACATTTTATTTCATTAAATTTGATCGTCCAGTGAAAATTAAATAATTTTATGTTAAACATATTATCAAGTAATGTTAACATGTTATAAAGTATTATATATATATATTTTAAACAATTTTTATCTCGCTAAAAGTTAAAATAATAAATAATAAATTAATTTTAAAATATAGAAAATAATGATAAAAACTAATAACTCAGACTTAAAATTTATTTTCTATGTTCACTTCAATATTTATGTAAACAATGCTATTTTTATTTTTTTTATAGTTTTATTTTTTTAAAATGTTAATTTTTTTAGAATTTTAGATTTTAATTTTTAAAAATTTTTTATTTTTTAGATTTTATCAATTTTAAATTTTTATAATTTTATAAATTTATTTGTTAGAATTTTTATATTTTAAAAGTTTTATTTAAATAAAATTTTGTTTAAACTCTCATTTTCCATGATTTGAGTGTTTTCAAAATTTTCATTGAAAGCACTCAAAACGTCAAAAATATATTTTAAGTTTTATATTATAAATTTATTCTTATTTTCAAAAATATATATTCAAAAAGAGTAGACGAACAAGTTTTCAATGTTTTGTAAAACTGAAAATTTAAAACGTCTTGAAAACAACAAATAAAATGCATACTTAGAGTTTAGCAATATGGCAGCTTTTCACGTTTGTAAATGTGATAAACTTTATGGTTTCTCTTGTTTGAATTACACTACTTTGTTAGAAAATGTCGATATCCTAATTGACATATGTATTGATGGCAATAAATGATTGGATGTAAAAGTTGATTGTTTTTAAAACGATACAATAACTAAATGACGTGTGACATTTTTTCAAGGAAAGATGTTTAACTTTTTTGACAATGTAACATTGTTGCTTTTGTTTAGTCTAAGGTAACAAATTGTTATAAAAACATTGGTTTTTGTAAAAGAGCGATCAGAGTAACCTTAATACATGCAAACACTTGTTCCACACCATTGTTGGTTCGATGATCTTATAGTCAAATATGTTAAAACTTGGCGTATCATTGGAGCATGGCTAAGGCAAGGGAATTGATAAATGCGAACACCAATATATGGTCGTGTAGAACATGTATTAGTATTATATCAATAAAGTGTTACACGACGATTCGTAAATTATTCCAAAACTTGCATAAGAGAGATTTTCATAAATGAAAGTCGATTTTTGAAAGGGCGTGATTAAAAAATAGGGTTTTACTATATATACATCTGAGTTTACACCCAAGTGTATATCAAAAAAAAATTATAGATTTCATAAATTGTGGTGTTAAAAATAATTGTCAAAAAAATAAAAATACAAGCTCTCGAGCAAAAGAAAAACAAGTTTCACGTTGTTCCCAAGTAAGTTACCATTCAATTCTTTACTAACGTTTTTTTCTTCCTTAATTTGTTCACAATTCATTGAATGAATTAATTAATTTCCCCAAATGCCAATTTTAATTAATTAGCATTAACTCATCTCCAATTCATTTGGTTCTCCATATATATCTCTCTCACACAGACGCGCACTTCTGCAAACAATTTCTTCGTCGGCCGTCCTCAAAACAGAGCTGCAACTTCACCTCACCTCCAATTCACTCCCACGTGTTCTCAATTATCCAAATTCTCACAGATTTTTCTCTCTCTATATCACCCAATTCCTTCCTATACTTATGTATAACTATATATTCACACCCAAAAATCTCCAGTTGTATTTTTCTAAATATGCATTGTTGTTAATGGAAATTGAATTGAATCGGATCCTTTGAATCCCACAATTCAACTTTAAATGTCCCTCAGATCCCTCCTTTTCTTCTATTCCCATGCCCCCTTTACCATCCCTAACAGATCAATTCGCTATTCTCCTTAATCCCACCTCATAAGTTTGTTCATATTAAACAACGCTTTTTTATTTTTGAAAAAATGGAAAAAATGGCTGCTACTACATCAGCGGGCCGATTTTTTACTATCGGTTTAGTGGCAGCATGGTATTTTTCTAACATTGGGGTGTTACTTTTGAACAAGTATTTGTTGAGCAATTATGGGTTCAAGTACCCGATTTTCCTGACCATGTGCCATATGACGGCTTGCTCGTTGCTGAGCTACATCGCAATCGCGTGGCTGAAGATGGTTCCAATGCAGACAATAAGATCTAGGGTTCAGTTCATGAAGATCTCTACTCTTAGCTTGATTTTCTGTGCGTCTGTTGTTAGCGGGAATGTTTCGCTCAAGTACTTGCCTGTTAGCTTTAATCAGGCCATTGGTGCCACAACTCCTTTCTTCACCGCTGTGTTTGCGTACTTGATGACTCAGAAAAGAGAGGCATGGTTGACATATGTGACTTTGATTCCGGTCGTCACTGGGGTCGTCATTGCTAGTGGGGTATGTTTGAAGTTGTTTGAATTAGGCATATCCAATTGTTTGCTTCTTACTTGGTTATGATGCATTGTGGAATCAAGTTTTTTAATGTTTGTTTTGGGATTTCTGTTTAAACTTTTTTTTTTTTTTTACGAAACAGGAGTTTGTTTTATTGATATGTAATTCTTTTAATTGGTCCGGGTGGTGAGTACGATAGTGATTTCAATGAAGTAAGCTTTCCCAATGTTAATGCGGAATTGTGCATTGATTGGAATGCTTGTGGTTTTGGTCATTGGTAGTGGGTTTTCCTATTCTATTGGAAAAAAAATGACCAGAGAATTAATTGTTAATGATATAATTCTGGGTAGTTTAGATCAGGATACCAGTTTCTATATATCAAGACAGGTTTATTAAAATGAAAAATTCTGATTGCTAGTACACTGAGGATATGTTTGATGCACGGCATTGGTCAGCTTTGTCTAGTACATAGTATGAGATTTTAACTTAATTTCTTTCTTAATCCCATATTTTCGTCCAGTGCGATTTAATCTTAACACATCTGACATGTGCATGGATTTCAACTGGAGGAAGATGCTTTTGTTGGTTTCAAATTAATATTTCAGAGACCAATATTGTTTTGTTGTAAAATCTGTTGACCATTTTTATTGGGAAGACCATGTTTTCTCCCAACTTGATTATTCAAGGAATCAAGTTATAAGAAATACTGCATGTGAGCACGTCTGTGTTGCATGTTTGTGCTGAATTATTGGTTTTTATGAATTTAGGAGAAATCAATTTTGTTTCTGAATTATTCCATGATGCTAGGGCGAGCCAAGCTTCCACTTGTTTGGATTTATCATGTGTGTTGCAGCAACAGCTGCTAGGGCTCTTAAATCAGTGCTGCAGGGGATTTTGCTTTCTTCTGAAGGGTAATACTTGTATCTTCTTATGCCATTATATATTCTGGTTATATTATCTCATGTGTTCTAGCCTTTCATATGTAAGGCCTATACATGCATGCTGAAACTTCTGATATTTTTCTTGAAGGGAGAAGCTGAATTCTATGAATTTGCTCTTGTACATGGCTCCTATAGCTGTTGTATTCCTACTTCCAGCAACACTCATTATGGAGGAAAATGTAGTTGGTATCACCATGGCACTTGCAAGAGAGGATACCAGAATTGTTTGGCTACTCCTATTTAATTCTTCTCTTGCATATTTTGTAAACTTGACCAATTTTCTGGTCACAAAGCACACCAGTGCTTTGACTCTTCAGGTATTCCTTGCTTTCTGATCCAAGTTATTATCCTTTCATGATTTGGATTTGCACCTTGACCTCATTTTGCAAATATATTTGTATTGCTGATATTTGAATCAGAGAAATTTGAAGTTTTCGTTTCAAGAAAGAAAAGAGCAAGTTCCATGCATATTTTAGCTTGTGGCACTAGAATGGGCAATAACAAGATATGATGTATAAGGGAATAAACAGGATAGGAGGATACAAAATGATTGCAGTTAATCTATAATATCTTTGATGTTCTGCATTATATTATGACTTCTAAAATTGAATTTTGGAGGACAAGATACACACACAGCTTTGAGTTTGAAGAAAATTTATAGTTTAAAATTTGTCCTATTTTCCCTGCCAAAGGACATTTTTGCAGAATAATTTATGTGTCCCTTTGCATTTCATAACATTTTGTTGAAGAAAAGTGAGGTATAAGGACCTTTGGTTTCTGTAGGAAATATAGATGTAGAAGAGTTCTTAGGGGTGTAATCGATCCAGTTGATGGGATTGGATTAATTGTTTTTAGATCCTCAAATTATTCTCCCATCACTGTAGTTCATGTAACTTTCTACCTTATAGGTTGCAATTCCTAGTGCCCAAATAAAATTCTTTTACCTTATTTTATGACCTCGCATCATTTGCTTACTTGATGAAAAATATTGTTCATTCATGTTATTTATATGTCATTGCTTGCCTTAATTGAAGTATACTGCTTCTGTTCAGAATGTTATTTGAGTGGGAAGCCTGGGAATTTAGTTTGCTGGATTTTGAGCATCATGTTCGTGCCTTATTGAAGTGAAATCTTGTTATGTCAGTGATTATGCCTTCTGCCCTCATTCTTGTCAAGTTAATATACACCATCCATCCCCTAAAATTTGCTTGATTTCATAAAACCAACTTTTTATGCACTATGTTATGAAAATAATGTGTATTTCCCCCTATATTGAATTCAAATTTAAACATGTGATTTACTTTTAATTTTTATCTTGTGTGGGCAGTAAGATGAGAAGGGATTTGACTTTTTAAACCTGAAGCGAACTTTTGGGATGTATAAAAAGGCCGTGCAAGACTTGATAGAGAAGAGGAGAGAAGAAGAAAGAAAAATAAGATAGATTGGAGGAGGAAAGAGAAAAGAATGGGAGAATTCGGCGGAAAAAGATTCAATTTCCTAATCTATCAGACTAATTGAAGCCCTAGTAATTCCCTAATGAACAAAATCATATTTAATCAAATATAGTCCAATTCAAACTCTGTTGACCCTATTTCTCCTAAACTATATATCTTTCCATGGCTGAGAGAAATCAACTCATTTAGACTGCTTAGAACTCCTCTTATGCTGTTTCTCCTACCTTATATACATTGCTAACTCTCCTCTTGTTTTGATATGAACAGTATTTTTCTTATTCTTGGTCTTCTACATATGTTCTATGGAAATATGATTATTGTGCTTTCAGGTCCTTGGAAATGCAAAAGGGGCTGTGGCTGTTGTAATCTCCATATTGATATTTAGGAATCCTGTCTCAGTTACTGGAATGCTCGGGTACAGTCTGACTGTTATCGGTGTTATTCTCTATAGTGAAGCAAAGAAGCGTAGTAGATGAAATGACTAAACTGGATGAGCATCAACTGTGAATATCATCTTTTCTGTGTTGTGATGTGAAGAGAGGTTCGACCTTCTGAGGCAAAGTTTGGACCATTTGCTTGCAGTTAAATTTGCCCAGAAGCCTGAGAAAGAGGCTTCTACACTTTTTTGGCCAGAGGTAGAAATGTTAAATGAGCAAAATTTTCTTAGTACTTTGTTCATGGAAGAAAACGAAAATCATTTTTTAAACTTTATTGTCATTCACCAAGATTATTACGATTCAAATCACAAAGCATGTTAGTTTTGTTGCCATGATAAAAGCCATGTAAGTTTACAAATTTGGGTCGATTCTTAGCTAGATGTATTCTGGGTCATTCGTCTTTAATTTTGCGCACTTAAGCCGTTCAGCTTTGATTTATGTTCGATCTTGCCACTATGTGAATGTAGTTAAGTCTTTATTTTTGTGCAATTGAGCCCATTCAACTGCGATTTGTGTTTAAGATCGACGTTCTATCCATTGCAGTTAGTTCATAAGACACGGCATCCAATTTTTTAATATTAAAGTGCACTTTTCAAAAAATATTAGGAGGAAAAAAAACAAACAGTGGATCATCTTCCCCAACTAGTCATTTTGCATTTTCACTTATTTTACGAGGAGATAGATTAAACACATGGCAGGGCCGGGGAGGCTAGAAATGGGGTGCCCCTAGCCCGACCCCCCGACCCCATTTGCTATCCCCAAACTAATCAAGTATTGATAACATGCATCGAGAAGAACACGGATCCATGCTAGTATGGACCGCAACTCTTGGGCCCTATATTATAAAGATAGAAATCATAAAACTTCAGGTGTTTTATGGGCCTGTGATCTTTTATTTAATTTGGACCTCGAGTCCTTTGTAATTTTATGGGCATTCGCTTCCAATTATTTAGGTCAGCGTGCCAACTAGTATATGACATATATTGCATTTGGACTAATTAAAGAAATAAGAAGATGAAGAGATCATAGAGATGAATCATTGTATAATTCAATGTTATACCCCATAGGAACTGACCAACCAATCTTCCTTATGGGTCGGGAAGACTAGATAGTAAAGTCTATAATCACACACTATTATATATATGTTTATTTACATGTTAAATGTATAAGAAAATGTATGTAATTATTACGATAAGACATTTGTATGCAAAAACGCTCGTTAAAATATTAAGTAATATTTATATTCGCTTTACTTCATTATAGTGAAAAATCATAGTCCTTAATTGATATCAACTTGTTGAGTACACTCAAAACTAGTTTATTACGAATATGTTTGACATTATGAAATATTAGATATTTCTGAATAATTGGTTTGAGTTAACTAAAATTTATCTTTTGCCGAATACATTCAAGGAGATAAAGATTAGAAGTATGTTAAGCTAACACATAAGATGTATGAAGACAAGGAGTTGTTGGTTAATGATCTGAGAGTTGTATGAAGATACAATTGATAATAATATCTACTCAAATGTTTTATTAAGGCTTGTTGAGTACACTCAAGATTTTAATATAACAAATGGGATCCCAGCCCACTAGGAGTCAAGTGTGAATTCCATAAATATATGTGAGAGGGTCATAAATTTGAGTTAAACAGTGAGAGTATAATTACTTTAATAAAAGACAATGTTAAATTAATTGATACATTCTATATATAATTCTTTTACTTTTTGTCATTTACATTTATTGTATCATGAGTAACCATATTTATTTGAGAGGCATATTGGATGACAACAACCAAACCAAATTTTCTTGATTGGCACTGCAATCTGAGAATTGTTCTCAGACATGAGAAAATTAGTTATTTCCTTGAGTAGCCCTTTTTTAGAGACACCTACTAATGACTCGACAAAAGAAGAGGTGGTTGTTCTAATAAACACATTGATGATAATAGTACTGCATCATGTGTAATGCTGCGACTATGCCACCTAAGTTACAAAGGTAACATGAGAGTATAGATGCTAATATATGATTTTTCATCTC